ATTTTACTACATTGGCAGTTAGTACTGTAGCACCCTCCTGAATAGGTGGCTAGAAAGGTCAGGTAAATGTAGTTTTTTTTTTTACTCATCTGTAGTCAGTGGAGTAGTGCTTTATTAATTTTGGCTGTTTTAGGTTTCACTAGGTACAGGCTCAGCTGCTTTCCTCTGTCTTCTAGTGGATTCTAGAATGTAGTGGGCTGGAAGAGGCAGACCGACAGCCTGAATATGTATGTGGTCTTGGCCAATTCCTGGGGGAGGATGCTCAGTAGCTGGCTGGGGCAATGAATAGTCTGAGGCCTAGAGCAGCAGGGTTTTTGTCCAGGAGGAAAAGTTCCCAGCCTGAAGGGCTGCTGCTCTTATGGGCAGTACAGCTGAAGTTTCACAAGTGCTCATCAAGCTCCCAGCTCAGCCAGAAATGGGGAGGTCTATTCTTTCGCTCGTCGAGGACCCAGCTGTGTTAGAGCTGGGGGGCCTGTTCTACTGATAGGAAGAAAAAAAGCAACCAAATGCTTTAACTCCTGCACTGGAGTTTCTCTATCCCCACATGGAGTATAGAAGGAATGCAAGCTTTGCTGCCCTCAAAGGATCAGGGAAATCCAAAAAGAACTGTATATGAAGAAACAAAAAGAGGGCGCATGGGCCTAGTGCATTACATTTAAAAACGAGATTTATTGATAAAAAGTAAAATACTCACAAAGGAATAAAATCAAATGAAGGGCATCTCACAAGAAATGCAGCGTGGTCCAATCACCCTGAAGGATGTCTAATGGGGGACAGCAGACCCCTAGGTGGCTGTTGTGCTGACGCGTTTTGAGGCTGTGCCTCTTCCCCAGAGCCAATATTTTTACTGGACATGTTTTAATAGCAAAAAGTAAAAAATACTGTTTTTTCTCAAAAAGTGTTGGTCTTTTTTTTTATAGTGTAAAAAATAAAAACGCATAGGTGATAAAATACCACCAAAAGAAAGCTCTATTCATGGGAAAAGAAGGACAAAAATTTCATTCAGGTGCAGTGTTGCATGGCCGCGCAATTGTCAATTAAAGTAACAGCACCGTAATACAAAAAATGGCCTGGTCAGGAAAGGCGGTAAATCCTCAGGAGGGAAAATGGTTAAATTGTCCTTTAGTTGTGCTGGGACTGTATTAAGACATTTTGAGATATTTGTATATCACTATCAGATCTCTTCTTAAGCATCTCTCCTCCAGTGAGAATATGTTTTATGCTTGTAGCTGTTCCTCGTGACTCCAGTCCCCTTATTGGCGTTGTTGCCCTTTTCTGTACTCTCTTCAGTTCTTTCCTGAGGACTGCTGACAAGAACTGGATGGTATACTCAAGATGTGGCTGGACCAGAGTTTTGTAAAGTGGTAGAGTTATAGTCTTATCTCTTGAGTAAATACCCCTTTTTAATGCATACTAAAATTCTGCTAGCTTTGCTTCTTGCAGCTTGGCATTGCATGTTATTGCTGAGCCTATGATCTGCTAGGACCCACAGATCTTTTTCCCTCTTGGATTCCCCCAAATGTTCTCTCCCCTATTATGTATATTTTTCATCCTTAAGTGCATTACTTTACATTTTCAACATTAAACCTCTTTTCCCATGTATTTGCCCACCCCTCTATTTTATCGGTCGTCTTGTAAAGCTTCCATATTCTTCTGTGAAGTTTTTGACCCACTTATCCTTGGATCATCAACAAACAATGATATTGAACTACGTATTTATTCCAACCTTTATATAATTTATGAATAAATAAACAGAATTGGTCCCCGGACAGAGCCTGGGGTACCCGACTTACAACCCCAGACAATTCACACTATTTATGACCACTCTATCGACATGCCCCTGCAACCAGTTTTCTATCCAGGTACATACACTATTGTCCAGTAGATATAGCATATTATGATATTTTTATACACATCCATCACCATCTCCTGACAATACTGTCCTATTTTATTTCAGGGTGAACTAAAAATAATTAAATATTTTTAGTTTAACTTCATAAGATTTTTTTTAATGACAAGCATATTTTTTGACAACTGTTCTTACCCTTATAGTTTTAAAATATCCTCGGTGTAGGCCAACATGCTGGGGAAAGCACTGCTGATAAAAAGACCAAGAAAAGCTGTTCCAATGAAGAGGCCAGCTGTGCTGTTCTGTGACAAAATTAGGAATAGAAATGCCCCTAAAACACCAATCTACAGAGAAGACAGAGACAAATTATATCAGGCACCAATAAATACCTTTATAGAAATAACGTATCTGATAAATAAACATAATTAAATATCACATATGTCCATTCGATTGAATATTATTTAAAAACAAATAAGTAGAAAAAAGAATAATGTGAACATTTGTTATTTGGTAATTGTTAAATGAGTTACTTGAAATGTGTAATAAAGAGTTTCATGTTCAATGTATTATATGTTGTAGCATGAGTCTACAGGGAAATGTTGTCTGCTTTTATTTTATTATTACTCAATTTATTTTTATCCAATAATTAACCCTGACTACCCCAAGATAACAGCTACCCGCTCACCCCCAATGGTACATTAACAAGTTCAGTTCTCCCACATGTATACCCCTGTGTTATGCTGGACATAGATGGATCCCCCCACCCACACAATTAAGGTGGATGTTGGAATTCTCCCCACTGCGCTACTGTGATCTGACAGGAGGACTCCTCCACTGTCAGAATACACTGATCAGTACTGCACCTGATTGGCTGCATGCGCTGATAGAGTAAAATTTTCCAAAATTCCTGTTTGAGAGAAACCATAGGTCATAGGTGGATCGACATTTGTCCCTGCTGAGATGGCTAAATTTCAATCCATCCATGGCCAGCTTTAGTTTTTAAAAAATTTGTATGTATGTAGATAAAAATACCTTTTTTTTACTATAATTTGACTCGTTTATAATGACATTTCAATTATGATTCTGGTGAAGAGCATTGAAATTGGAATGGAAGAGGTGGTATTCAAATGTAGTGCCACTCTAGTTAGCCAAGGGGAGCTAGCTAGGTTTTTTTTAGGCAGAGGCTGAATAGCAAACTGCAATGAGTCAGCCAGGTTACTCTAGGTGAGGGCTGAGGGCTCTGCAGGTTAGTTCCCTGATACCTCCCCCTACTCTAGAAGCTTGAACTGTTTCCAGAAGGCAGTGGGTGGGGGTGAAGAGTGGCTGAATTGCATGTCTGAGGAATCTTGACCAATCCCCAAGCAGGAGGCTTGGCATGGGGTCAGGACAACCCTCAGATATGATAGTGCCTGATTAGCAGGATGTAGTCAGTGTGTGTAGGGATGGGGTAGGAGGCTGGAGTGTGGAGCCTGAGAGGGGCTCACCTACAGCCAGGTTCTGGAAGACAGGACCTCCACTGTGTCACCATCTATTAAGAGGAACAGCCTGAGCAGCAGGGAAGGAGCCAGCGCAGCAGAAGGTCTGAAGGCCGCCACTGACCTATAAAGCTATCAGGAAGGACAGTGTGATGAAACCTTATGCCCCCTGGGCCAGATAAGAGGAGAGGGCAGTCAGGTGGAGAATCTAACTAGCTCCTTGGCCAGGACTGTTTAATCTATGGCAGTGTCTGTATCCCCTTGTCCAGGGAATACCCTTAGTACTGCTGAGTGAAGAGAAGGGTTCATCTGGGGTCTGAGGAGGTACACTGGAGAGCTGTAGTGCTCTCAAATAAGAGACATATTTTGAATATCACAATGTGAATAAACCTGTGAAAGAATGCTTAAATAATAATGGTTAAAAATAGATATAACAATAAAAAATCAGCAGAAAAATAATAGCAAGACTAGAGGGAGGGGTTAATTAGGGCTGATTGGGCTTAACAAACAAGGTAACAAGTGTATTAATACTTGCAGGGTTGCTTTAACGAACATAATTTGCAGATCAAAGGTTACCCCTTACTGGAAGCCAATAACTCCAATAGAAAAGACATGTTACATATACAGTATGTCTATTTATAAATAGTTATGTTTTCAAACAAGTGTCACACAACATTCACCCAGGATTCAGACATTTTTCTACTTTGGTTTAACTTATGAAACTTGGGTAAAAGCTGTGTTGTGGCTTATACAGGGTACGCTGCTGAAATTTCCACCATGACGTACTACATGTGAGCAGCACCAGCTATACAATATAATAGACCATCACAAGAGACTTTCCAGAGACAGCCCATTTTACTCTTTGGCCAGTGCCAGTGCACTTTGTAAAGCTAGTAGCACTTCTGGCAGGCCTGAAATTTTTTCTAAGAGGTGCAAATACCAAGTGCAATGAGGTTCCAGGGGATAAGTAGATAACCACAGTATGGGCAGCTCCAACAACTCAGCTGACCATCAATGAGACGTGAGCACAAAACAACAAATAAAGGAGCATTCACAACCCTTTGGAAGTCAATAAAGTCACAAGCCCAAGAATAGTTAAAATAAAAATTCACTGGTTTAAAAAAGCATGACATGTAGGAGTGCACAGATTGATACATCACCAAGCCAGTGGAGAGGAGAAACACATATTCCCAGAAGCTGGAGAATGACACATAATCCTGGACCCAACAGTAGGTTGCTCAGCCCAGGAGCCTCAGAACAGTGGGAGGGATGTGTGGATGGCAGCTGCTGGGATCACTGAGATGGCGCGTCCACCGGAAGTCACGTGTCCCTGACCGCCGAAACAAGGGCTGGTGAGTGCAAACTGTAAGCCTAGGGGAGCACTCAAACCATGTCGAACCAAAAGAGAGAAGCTGGTCATCATGACTTGCCCCTTCCTCAGATCATCACATGGGTTGGCAGTGCTCTTTTATTTGTTGTTTTCTGAATTTTTTTCTAGTTCTTTGCAGGCCTTTATCTGAGATTACTTAATGGCTGTAAGTCTATTTACATTTTAATTACACAGGCAAGCTGAAGTGTTTTAGATGTCTAGGGTAGAAAGTAGGAATGCATTTGGTTTGTTTTGGACATCTTACCAGATTAATAAATAGCATAGTACGAGGAGCCATTTTATAAGACGCTGGAATGGAGATAAGTCTTCCTAAAGTGATGGAAGCCCAGAGGAGGCTCGGTAGATAGCCGGCTGTCTTGTGCGCTAATGACAGCGGTTCTTCCACAGCATAACTATAGACAAAACCAGAGTATTCTCCCTATAAAATATACAGGTTTTTTATTAATACACGTATGACCCTTATGTACTGTATATATTTTTTCATTGCATTTCATGCTGTCTTCAGAAGTGTCATTGATAAATATTGATTTTATTTTAGAAACAAAGGGCTGTAGCACACCAGATAAATGACTAGCATCCATGTTTATTTTGAGACCTCTTCAAGCATGGCAATGGCAGTCCCCACGCTAGGACTGCCCCCAATGCATCTCACACATGTAGTCTCTACAACTAAGCCCCCATTCGCACTGATGCAACTTGTCATGCAATTTGACCATTCGTCGGAATCGCGCCATTTATAAAAGAAGTTCTTGCACTACTTTTCAGGACATGGGGTGCGACTTGCATAGACATCTGTGCATGAACTTTCACAGATGTCTACAAAGTTGGACCCAAAGTCAAGTGAAGTCGCACAATTTCAAAGTCGGATTCAGCGTAAACCAGGGAAATGCAAATTAGTGTCCACAAAATGTTTAAAACACGAGTCTATAGAGTGCATTTATATATGCAGTAATCCATAATAATAATATGAGTTAAAGAATCATAGTTAAAAAACTGTATAATGTCATGTTACAATGAATCAAAATAGTATTGTGGCTGAAGTGTCAAGGTTACTTAGCAGATAAATGAGCTAGCAATTGAAAAGTGTTAGATACACTATATTGCCAAAAGTATTGGGACGCCTGCCTTTACACACACACAAACTTTAATGGCATCCTATCCTTAGTCCATAGGGTTCAACATTGAGTTGATCCACCCTTTGCAGCTATAACAGCATCAACTCTTCTGGGAAGGCTGTCGACAAGGTTTAGGAGTGTCTATGGGAATGTTTTACATTTCTTCCAGAAGCGTATTTGTGAGATCGGGCACTGATGTCAGACGAGAAGACCTGGCTCACAGTCTCTGCTCTAATTCATCCCAAATGTGTTCTTATTGGGTTGAGGTTAGGGCTCTGTGCAGGCCAATCAAGCTCCTCCACCCCAAATTGGAAATTTGTCCAAAATGTCTTAGTATGCTGACACCCTAAGAGTTCCCTTCACTGAAACTAAGGGGCCAATCCCAACCCCTGAAAAAGAACCCAACACCATAATCCCCCCTCCACCAAACTTTACACTTGGCACAATGCAGTCAGGCAAGTACTGTTATCCTGGCAACCACAAACCCAGACACGCCCCTCGTATTGCCAGACAGAGAAGTGTGATTTGTCACTCCAGAGAACAGGTCTCCACTGCTCTAGAGTCCAGTGGTGTTGTGCTTTACACCACTGCAGCTGACACTTTGCATTGCACTTGGTGAAAGGCTTGGATGCAGATGTTTGACCATGGAAACCCATTCCATGAAGCTCTCTACACACTGTTATGCTAATCTGAAGGCCACACAAAGGTTGGAGGTCTTTAGCTGTTGACAGTTGCACTGTGCACTTCAGCATGCGCTGACCCTGCTCTGTCATTTTACATGGACTAACACTTCGTGGCTGAGTTGCTGTTGTTCCCAGTTAGTTATAATACCACTAACAGTTGGCCGTGGAATATTTAGTAGCAAGGAAATTTCATGGATGGACTTATTGCACAGTGGCAACCTATCACGGTACCACGCTTGAATTCACTGAGCTCCTGAGAGCGACCCATTCTTTCACAAATGTTTTCAGAAGCAGTCTGCATGCCTAGGTGCTTGACTTTATACACCTGTAGCCATTGAGGTGATTGGAATACCTGAATCCAATGATTTGGAGGGGTGTCCCAATACTTTTGGCAATATAGTGTATCTATGTATGGAAAATGGAATATAATTAATCCAGACAGTGCAGTGACCTTGATGTGTCAATGGTAAACAATTCAGTAATAAAAATATATATATATATATATATATATATACACAACAGTACATCAAAAGCATATATGTTCAGGTTCAATAGAGAAACAAACTGTATAGTGGTGCAAAAACATGTATAAAGCATTTTAAAAAATGACCATATATGCCAGCTGGTTTATGGTCATGCATTTTAAAAACATATATATGCCAGCTGGTTTATGGTCATGTTTTTTAAAATGCTTCTTTATACATGCCACATAATTATATAGTCTGGCTGAAAAAAGACCAAAGTCCATCCAGTTCAACCAAAATAAAAGAAATAAAGTTATATACCCACAGTTGATCCAGAGGAAGGCAAAAAAAAACAGCAAAGCATGATCCAATTTGCTCCTGCAGGGGGAAAAATCCTTCCTGATCCCCCGAGAGGCATTCAGATATTCCTTGGACCAACATTACCCATAAATGTTAGTATCCAGTTATATTCTGTGTATCTAGGGAAGAATCCAGGCCTTTTTTTAAAGCAATCCACTGAGCTGGCCAGAACCAACTCTTGAGGGAGTTTGAAGAAACCTTTCCGTGTTTGCAGATTAAATTTATATTCCTCCAGACGTAAAGAGTGCCCCCTTGTCCTCTGTGATGACCTCAGGGTGAATAGCTCTACACCGAGTTCACTATATGAACCACTGATGTATTTATACATGTTGATCATATCCCCCTTAATCTCCTTTTTCTCAACAGAAAAAAAAAAAAAAAAAAAATATATATATATATATATATATATATTAATGGGAATGCATTTGCACTTTTCTAGGATTAGCAATGACACTTGCATTTTTGTATGCTGCTTTTTATGGATTATTTCATGTGAATTTGCAGCAGGGGCCTTTGTGGCTGCAGTTATTAAAAATAATAAATAGAATTACCCTGTTTAGATCAGTGCTTTTTCACCTTCAGCCTTGAAACACCATCAATAGGTCATGTTTTAAAACTCACCTTTATCTCCAGACTAATTCTGCAAGCATTTACAGGAAGTCTGCGTTTGAAAGCTCCAGGTCACACAGAGTCTGTGGCAGTCAGGCATTCTGGGGGTGGTCACTGATGTAAAAGGGGAGTGGAGATCCTATAGTGAGGGTGGACACTGATATAAAGTTCCCCCCTTATATCAGCGTCTTCACTCCCCTCTTACATTAGTGAACCCTGTTATCTTAGTGTATTCATTCTGCAGACTCTGGTGTATGAGGGAAATCTGATATAAGGGGGTCTCTGGTCAACAGTGCTCCCCTCCACATCCACCTTAAATCAGAGCTCCCAGCATTCCACCTTAAATCAGAGCTCCTAGAATGAACTCTTGCTTTAGAGTAGTGTTTCTTCACCATTTCAATACTGGGCACTTTTACACCCTTCCTGCCCAGGCCATTTTTCAGGTTTCAGCGCTCTCACACTTTGAATGACAATTGCGCAGTCATACAACACTGTACCCAAACTAAAATTTTATAATTTTCTTCACACAACTAGAGCTTTCTTTTGGTGGTATTTATTTATCACTGGTATTTTTAGTTTTTGCTAAATTAACAAGAAAAGAACAAAAATTTTGAAAAAAACCCAAGTTTTTCTTTGTTTCTGTTATAAAAGTTTGCAAATAAATAATCGTTCTTCATAAATTTAGGCCAAGATGTATTCTGCATGTCTTTGGTGAAAATAACCCAAATTAGGATGTATTATCTAGTTTGTAGGAAAGTTATAGAGTTCACAAACTATGGTATAGATCTGAATATTGATCAATCCTGAAGTACTGACAGCCAATCTAATTTCTTGAGGTCCAAGAATGTCAGAACAGTACAGATATCCCCAAATGACCCCTTTTTGCAGAGTAGACAGTCCGACGTACTTCATAAGAGGCATGGCGAGTTTCTTGAAGTTGTATTTTTTTGTCATAATTTTTCGGAAAATGAAAAAAATTATTTTTCACTATTTTTTTTTTTTACATGCTGTCACCAGTGCAGTACAGCGTCATCATATAAACTGGCATGGCGGTGATCAGGGACACTGACTGGTGACAGTATGAAAAAAAAATATATATATTTTTTAATTTTTTTTATTATTTTTAATTTTTTATTATTTTTTTTTTTTTTTTTTTAAGATTTTTTTTTCATATTTCACTATGACCAAAGTAGTACAATGTTACCATAGTAACATTGTACTACTTTAGGGAAGTGATCACTTTTTTCTTTTTTACACAATTTGCTTATAGCAAAGAATTACTTTGCTATAAGCAAGCATTTACCTGAATGACATCGATTCATTCAGGGCTTTTTTTTTTTTTTTTGCTTAGCTGTGATTTGGCCACGGTTAATCACATGACACAGCTGGGCTGTGATTGGCCCAGCTTGTGCATGTGATTGCTGTGACCAATCACAGCTAGACACACTAGTATACAATGGATGGCATGAATGAAGCCATCCATTGTATACAACTGTCATGTGACCTGCTGTGATTGGTCACAGCAGGTCACATGGTACCGGCAACGGGGTCGGTACTCAGATCTGTCATCGGCCGTGTCCGAGGTACACGGCCGGTGACAGATCGTGCCACTGCGCGGCTCCGGGAGGATGCCATATGGCGTCCACCCGGAACACTGAGGGATTTTGCCGGCCGCCAAACAGCCATTGGCTGGGCGGCAAAAGGTTAACCTACTTTGAGCCAAGGCACCCTTTAAAATTCTACACAATCGTTAGGCACCCATTACAAAATGTAAAAAACTAAACAAATAGTTTTACAGAATGCAGCAACATCTGCACATGTAGGACATCCAGTGCTGGAGGGGATTTATTCTTTCAAAATATTTGCATTCTGGTGCTGACTAGTAATCCATTGTTTCTCTTCTCTCTCACTTAGCTAGTGTGACCTTAAGGAGAGGAGCAGGGAAGGGGAAAGCAAGGATGCTGTACAGGTGCCTCGTGTCCTTCTTATCGCCTGATGACATCATTGTTATGTCACCAGTGGCTAGAAATTATGGTGCATAATGAAAACCTGTGGTTTTCTGTAACTAAAAATCAGGCTTAATACACCTGCTGCCTTGTATACAATGGGAAATTTTTGAGCATTTTCTCAAGGCACCCCTGAAGAAACCTGAAGGCACCTCCGGGTGCCTGGGCACCCTGGTTGAAAAAGGCTGCTTTAGATTCAGTAGAATTCACCAATACAAGAAGAAACTTTGCAGACTCTGAAGTAAGGAGGAACTCTGTAAACCTGTGTAAGGGGTGGGGGGAGCTCTGGAGAACAGATAACTTCTAACATCAGAGTTCCTCTTTACACCAGAGTCCACAGCATTCCCCTTTACAGTAGGGTATGCAGAGTTCCCCTTTACATCAGGGTCCAGAGAGTTCCCCTTTACATCAGGGTTCACAGAGTCCCTACTTGCACTGTAAAGGGGAAATCTGATGTAAAGGGACCTCTGGGAATGCAGAGAACTATGATGTAAGGGGGAGACTCTAATGTAAGGGGGAACTCTGTGGACTCTGATGTAAGGGGGGCATTAATGTAAGGGGGAACTCTGTGGACTCTGATTTAAGGAAGGACTCTAGTGTAAGGGGGAACTCTGTGGACTCGGATGTAAGGGGGAACTCTGTAAAGGCCCTGGGAGTAGAGGGAAGGGCCCTGGACTCAGGTCAGGGGGGCCTTCATAGTTTCTTGCACTAGGGTCCCGAAGGTTCTAGTTATGATTCTGATTTACTTCCTGGAATCCATCTGCCGTTAGCTCAGGCATGCAGACAGGCGGTTGTATTAGCTGAGAATGCCCCTCCTCCCTTCCTTCAGATAAAGAAAAAATGAAGACTCCTGAGAAGTATGATATAAACCAGGAATCAACTCTAAAGAAATGTAAAAATGGTTTAAAATGAGAAAATGTAATATACCTTCCTATCTATGTATTTAAGCTATCAGCATAAGGAATAATATAGGTAATGCTGATTAAGAGAGTTTAGTTCCGCTTTAATTGGCTGTTGTCTAAAATGGTCATTGTGTGTGTATGTAGGTAAAGTAGGAGTCTTAGATTGTAAATTTCTTGAGGGCAAGGACTGATGAACATCCATGTGAATGCACATTATGCAAAGCACTGTGTAAATTGTTGGCGGTGTGTAAATGCATGTAATAATAGTCTGTATCCCTAGACCTATTCTTACCACAGTCATTTCTAATTATGGAAATCCTAAACTACCTGTTGGACATGCCTCACAAATGGGGACAGGATACAATGGTTTAGCTTTCTCTAGTTTATATGAATACCTATTAATTAACCATTAGCCGCCCGGCCAATGGCCGTTTGGCGGCCGGCATAATCCTTCAACGTTGCGTCGTCCTGGGCATGCGCAGTTTGCGCGCCTGCAGAGCCGCGCAGCGGCGTGATCTGTCACCGGCCGCATACCTCGGACACGGCCGATGACAGATCTGAGTACCGGCCCCATTGCCGGTACCATGTGACCTGCTGTGACCAATCACAGCAGGTCACATGACAGTTGTATACAATGGATGGCTTCATTCATGCCATACACTGTATACTAGTTTGCCTAGCTGTGAATGGTCACAGCGATCACATGCACAAGCTGGGCCAATCACAGCCCAGCTGTGTAATGTGATTAGCCGTGGCCAAATCACAGCTAAGCACAAAAAAAAAAAAAAAAAAAAAAAAGCCCTGAATGAATTGATGTCATTCAGGTAAATGCTTGCTTATAGCAAAGTAATTATTTGCTATAAGCAAATTGTGTAAAAAAAAAAAAAATATATCGATCACTTCCCCAAAGTAGTACAATGTTACTATGGTAACATTGTACTACTTTGGTCAAAGTGAAATATGAAAAAAAAAATATATAAAAAAAAAAAAGTAATAAAAAATTAAAAATAATAAAAAAATTAAAAAATTTTTTTTTTTCATACTGTCACCAGTCAGTGTCCCTGATCACCACCATGCTAGTTATATGATGACGCTGTACTGCACTGGTGACAGTATGTAAAAAAAAATTGTGAAAATAATTTTTTTAATTTTTTATTTTCCGAAAAATTATGACAAAAAAAAAAATAAAACTTCAAAAAACTCGCCATGCCTCTTATGAAGTACGTTGGACTGTCTACTTTGCAAAAAGTGGTCATTTGGAGGATATCTGTACTGTTCTGACATTCTTGGACCTCAAGAAATTAGATTGGCTGTCAGTACTTCAGGATTGATCAATTTTCAGATCTATACCATAGTTTGTGAACTCTATAAACTTTCCTACAGACTAAAAAATACATCCTAATTTGGGTTATTTTCACCAAAGACATGTAGTAGAATACATCTTGGCCCAAATTTATGAAGAGCAATTATTTATTTGCAAAGTTTTATAACAGAAACAAAGAAAAACTTGTTTTTTTTTTTTTCAAAATGTTCGGTCTTTTTTTGTTAATTTAGCAAAAAGTATAAACCCCAGTGGTCATTAAATATCACCAAAAGAAAGCTCTAGTTGTGTGAAGAAAATGATAAAATTTTAGTTTGGGTACAATGTTGTATGACCGCGCAATTGTCATTCAAAGTGTGAGAGCGCTGAGACCTGAAAAATGGCCTGGGCAGGAAGGGGGTAAAAGTGCCCTGTATGGAAATGGTTAAGTGATTACCTAACAGATATGGTTTAAATTGTGCTTAGTTATTGTGATCATACTATACACCTGTATATTGGTTAACAAAAAGACAAGAAATAAAGGATCAAAGATACATAGACTGGCTTTTGTTTTTTCTTAATTATCACAAATTTAGATTTGCAGTAGTGACTACATTATACCTGGTGCCTGTACATGACTTTGTTTCACATACCACAGAAAAACTGACAAAACTTTAATCTTGACTGCACATAACACAAACTGATATCTTTTACCGGTTGTTCTAATCTAGCATCAAGCCAGTTTTTTTAGCACAAGATTATATCTGCTGTTCTTCAGCTAGTCATATCTTCAATTTCAATCACACATCACACTGTGTATGAAATGCTTTTTTATGAATGGCATGGCCAATATCCATCTTTATTATAAAAACATGGTATTATTTTCTTACCACTAACCCATCGGTCATGAACAGGATCACTGCTGAAGATATATGAATTGCTAAAAATGTGTATGGAGCATCCCGAAAGGTCTTACTGTGACAACAATGAAAATAGTCTGAAAAAAATAATACACAATTTATAGTTAAAGTAACTTTTTAAATAGTTTTTTGAGTTTCATTAGCGTAGACAACAAAAGTGTGTCATTTAGTTTGCAACACATCGGAGGGTTTCATTAATACAAATACTTCTGACAATGATTAGTGTTGATCAGAGCTATATTTAATTTAAGACATTGGTGACCCTGGGGAAGGGGGGTTAGAAGTGAAACTTAAAAATAAATTCAACATTTACAAATGTTGATCACCTTTTCCTTGTTTCCCTCTTCTATCCTATATTTGTGAAATCTAGCAGCAGAACTTTAATGGTAAGGGAGTGCACAGAAAGCAGGGAGGTTTTAGAAAGTCCATAAGGCCCAATTCACATTGATTATGCACAATGTCAGGCATCACATATGCACGTGTTGTTGTGCAACATACATTGAAATGAATGCAACAAGTAGCTCATGCAAAATTGACTGAAGCTCGATTTTCAAAATAGTGCATGAGCTACTTTGCCGCATTTGTTTTGCATTCATTTTAATGGGCTGCCCTAGTCATGTAGCATGACAACTCACAAAAAAAATGCATATGCGCGACACCTAACGTGCTGTTGAGGCTTTGGGGTTCAGAATACAATAAATACCCTTTGCCTGTCTGGACAGTGGAAAAGTAGTTATGCATGTAAAGCAGACAACATCCTGGTCAGGGGTGGACTGACAACTCATGGGGCCCCCGGGCAATAGGGGATCATGGGGCCCCTGTGTCCCTGCCCAAACTCAAAAAAACCTATGAAAAAGGTACCAGGGGCATCTCATGGGGACCCCTACTGACCCCGGGCCCTCGGGCAGTGCCCAAGTTTCCAAATGGTCAGTCCGCCCCTGGTCCTGATTTAAACTGTGAATTCTAGCACTAGTTTCCACTAATGTATTCATATGACAACAGGGGAAAATTTTGTTTTAAAGGGCATCATTCAGATGTGCCCAGGACAGTATTATGTCTACATACAGGCCTCATGATATTTACTAGTAATAACCCCCCCCACACACACACTCATTTATGTCAAGTAAAAAATGTGCAGCGCTAAAAAACATTAAGCACAAAAGATATCCACAGTATATCCAAAATAATATAAACTCTTATCTGCGTGAGTAAATATTAAATCAGTGCTACTTATACTTCATACAACCAAAATCAGTGGTATATATTTTGAGAAATATAGTGATCGTCCATATGCGGTACAATTTGCGATGAATCAATAACATGATAACAAAAAGTCCAGCAAACAAGCGTTCTCTCATGGATGAGAAACTCTGTGGTCAAGCAGGTATATTCTACTCTCCAATGTTCCACCTTTGAGCACAGAGACCAAAAAATACACACTGCTTACTGGAGATCCATGGCCCTCTATCTTAATGAGTGGCCCTAACCACTTGTGGGAATATCCCAATAATCCTAAAGGTAGGAATACACAATTATAAAGCGACTGATCTGTCATCCGACGACCAAGAGGAGTTCGTTCGTTGGTCAAAATCGTGGCCCACATTAACCAATCTAATAAAAATCGTTCATTGGGTAATATGTAGTGTTGACGTCTTCCGTAGAAGTGGATGATACAGTGTGCATGTGACCTTGTAGCCACGCCCTTCCGGCCAGAACAAGCGATATACACAACAATTAACAGCAATGAGTATAATATAGCTTATTACAATAACTATATACATAAATAGTGATACATACAAATATAACATGCAGAATTCTGGTTTCATTATCCCATTAGGCCAATCTGCTTTTAACATCTGGATTTTTCGTTCGTGTTTACAACGATTCCTTGGACATAAACATCCGGGTCTCTTCTGTTTCCGCTCATGCGATAGCGCTTGATAGATTTTTTTTCGTACGACCGTCATGCCACCGCATAGAAAATCGGTCGTTCGTAGGCAAAACAACAACATTTTTCACTGTTGTTCAACCAGATTTTTTTGTTCACAATACCGTTATCGGTTAAAACATCCTGCTCATTAACGAAGAGAAAATCGTTTGATCAGCGGTTCCACAAACTTTTTCAGACTATTTTCTTATCGTGTGTACGGGGCATAAGGAGAGGTTGTTACCAGCTATCTAATTAAAACATCATGTTACCCGCATTTCATAAATAGCTGCAGCCAAATTCAATCCCAGTCTCAGTCCTACGGATGGCGGCCAATATGAGTGATGAAGTCGAGTCAGGCTTTGCCCAATGCTTTTTGTTACACAGATATTAGTTTATATTATTTTGGATATACTGCAGATGTCTTTTGTGCTTGTTATTTAGCACTGACATTTTTGGACTGACACTTTGCATAGTTTTAGTACCACAAACTTTGTGCTAGCTGCTGATTTTTTGATTATTTCATTATTATTACTTAATCTGAGCTCAGATTTTCTCTTTAAAGTTTACAGATGGATTTTTTTTCTGCAGAACTGTACTTTGAATTTTATTTTTATGTTAAGAATTAGAAGGCCATAAAGGATGGCAATGTTAGAAACATAGGCACACTAGCTGTGCTGAAGTTTGTACCCTTACCACTTTGGACTTCCTGTGTTCCTGTTATTTGGCCGTCACTCATCTCATTCCCCTTCTGGGTTTCCATTGCTAGCTCATCTGCAGATAGTAAAGACCCCTTCCTATGTTTACAGCCAGGCACCATGCCTTTGCTATACATCAGAAGGAAAACTGCAAAAGGTACTGGAAGCTGGAGGAAAACACGACAATATCCAGTTTGTAAAAAAATTAGAGTTACATATTATAATAATAAATTAGGAAATGCTTGCAATTTAGCCTCACATTGGTATATGACTCCTGACCTCATATCTAAATTTGTCCATAGCACGCCCCAACATGCTTTCAGGACTGTAGAGAGCATGGCGCTCTTTTCCCCATCTGGTGGTCCTGCCCCAAGGCTTCCTGCTTTTGGATATGGGTGTATAACATGATTAGATCCTAAATGTTTATCTTATTCAAAAACAATGGGAAGCCCTATTACACAGGCAAATCTCAGTCCTTAATGGAAGTGAGAGACGCTGGTGAGATTTGTGTTTTTGGCGGCCTGCCAAACGTTAGCCAAATCTTGGCGACAACCATCAATCAATTTAGCTGAAGTTAAACAGAGGCTCATGGGGACTATGATACATGAAAAAACTTCACTTCCATACTCCCTGACACCTACACAAAGGTTGGGGTCTGTGACTGAACTATAATGATCACTTAAATATGGACCGCTCCTTACTCTCGGTGTGATCGAACATATTGATCCATGCACATGTTTGCGGTTTGGTTGGGCCTCACAGGAACTCTCTGCTCCTTTGTCCCCCTTTTCTTTCTCCCTATCCCATGTTCCTTCCTCTATTGTGCCGGATCTTTTTCCCCTTCCCTTCTTTTCCAACTTTATGTTTCTCTTTATTCATTCCTTTCTTTAATCAGTAAAGGAGAAGTATGGCCAACGCTCTTTTGGCCAAACTTCTCCTGTAGGTTACAGGAGTGCTCTTAGTTCTGCACTCCTGCGACCTGTATTTGGCTGACAGCAAGCTAAAGCCCCCTGTCGTCTGACATCACTTGGCTGGTGCAAACTCTGCAGGGATCCTGACTTTCTTGTCAGGATCCACCCAGGTGCCTGACTAGCTCTGAGAACCTGAACTAGATTCTCCTGCCCACTCCACAACCTGGAGCACCAGTGAGCGCAGGAGGGTTGGAAAAGAAAAGAAGAGCGAGAACTGAGCAAACAGCAGTGTTTGATTGCTAGAGGCTAAAGGGGACCTACCTAGGTGAATTTGTATGTTTATTTTTTAAAATCCAGCACTTTTAAGAAGTGTTTAAGTCATAAGCAAATCTATCCCTCCCTTTCTTACAGGGGCATTTTTTGACTTTGCTATTCAGGAATCCCCACATAATTTTTATCTTTACAGCTTTCTACTTTTGCACATGACTGCATATCCTTCTGTATTTGTGTACTGATACTGATGTTGACTACCCTTTGTTTGGTGTACTGGTATACCCATGTTGTATGCTACTGATCATTTATTTTTTTGAAAACCTAATGACATTTTTTGTGAAATAAATAAATTCATATTTGCCCATTACATTGGGGTCCATTATTGCTTGCATGTTAAAATGTGATATTTTGCTCATTCATTTAGAATAGGCTGAAAACAAATGGCAATGAAACAAAAAAATGAACTGCACTTTTTTTTTATTTTAACAAAATGAATCACAACATACAGCATGTGCTTTGTGGTCCCCTGCAGTACAGGCTTATCAGCACCTACCATATTGTGCATTGAAGTGCCACTTTAAATGAATGTCACCACAACACAGAGTACAGTATGTTACCACAAAATTTTCAATGTTACCACAACGAATAAGCATGAAAGGGCCTAAAGGAAATTGGGAGTGATCATGATACTGGTTATATTATGCGGTCACTCAGATGCCTACATGAAGAGAGAATTAATTACTCACATTGATGACAGCCATAATCCAAAATGCACAGGCCACATTTGTTAGTGCTGGCCCATCCTGTGGAAGAACATAATGTGACACATTCCCTGGATGAGGAGGTACAATTGAGTTCCTAATGTGCTCCAAATTTATGCTCCCATTCAGGGTTGAGTTAGACTGGATGCAATTAGTGTCCGAAAGGAATGGATCTGCTATCAAAGGACTCAAAAGAGCTCCGAAACCAACAAAAAAAATGAAGCACCTAAAAAAAAACATATATGATTACTAAGTAATGGTTATTCTAGTTTTCAAGCATGGCATATTTCTACTGTTGGTAACTGCATGTGGATTAAGTGTAGCACCTTCTAGTGTATAGTAAGGTTTGGTAAATTTATTCTGACTACAGTACTCATGTGAGTCTAGGTGATTGTTGTGTGTTCCACTTTAGATCAGGCTGAAAGGCTCTGCAGCTCAGGCTTCTATTGCGTCCACCTGGTTTTGGAGGTCCATGGAAACTTCTAGAAACTACTGGGTGGAGTTGTAGAGGCAAAAATCTGAATATTTATGGGAAGTTTGACCAATCCCCAGGCAGAAGGCCTGGCAGGGTGGTAAGACAGGTCCATAAATATTGAAGAGCCTGGCCAGTGGGAGTAGTGTGGGATCAGGTGGAAGATTAGTGCTGAGGGTCTTGAGGCTGGGAGGGGACCCTGGGGAAGGGGGTTCTGCGTCCAGGCTGGAGCTGTGGAAAAAGCTGGAGAGAGGGCTCTTCATTGCCCTACAGTCTTATCCAGGAAACACCCTGTCTAGCATGGAAAGACTAGTACATCAGAAAGGCTGTACATACTCCTATCTAAAGCACCAGGATACAAGGGACAGTATGAGTACCTCTACACAAGTGTTTGACACAGTTTCCCACACACACGGCTAATGTGTAAGGTAAAGTCTACGGGCTTGAAAAAATACGTATGTAAATAGATAGAAAACTGGCTAAAAGATCGTATTCAAAAAGTAGTGGTTTATGATTCATACTCTGAATGGTCTGGGGTCATCAGTGGTGTACCCCAAGGTTCAGTGTTGGGACCCTTACTTTTTATATTTCTAAACGATATAGGGTCTGAGATTAAAAATATTTCAGTCTTTGCAGATGACACTAAGCTGTGCAGTGGAATAACGTCCTTGCAGGATGTCTCCAACTTACAAGCCGACCTCAATGCACCGTTTAATTGGGCAACTATGTGGCAAATGAGGTTTAATGTTGATAAATGTAAGGTTATGCACTTGGGGGCTAAGAATATGCATGCATCATACATACTTGGGGGAGTACAACTTGAGAATTCAATGGTGGAGAAGTATCTGAGAGTTCTGGTAGATCACAAGCTTAATAATGGTATGCAATGCCAAGCTGCAGTTTCTAAAGCGAGTAGAACTGGATGGACTTTTGTCTTTTTTCAGCCAGACTAACTATGTAACTATGTAACCCCCAGGGCCTACAAGGGAGAAGGCTGCCAGTGATATCCAATATCTATCATGCTTTCATTGGGACAGTGTCACAGCTAACCTAAATCGTTTGCTCTGGGACATTTTACAAGGCACCTAGGGAACATAGCGCTCTTAAAAATATGAACTTTGCTATTGATCTTTTAGAGACTGATGTTATTCCAGAGGGAGTACAGTCCAGGATCTGCATTTTCGTGTATATAGAGAAGGGAGTCTGTCCTTCCCTTATCCCCATCCAAGTTGTTTCCCCTCCATAAAACAACAAAAACAAACCCATGGAATGGTTACTGAAAGTTGGAAAAAATGCATGTTGCCTGGCTGTGCAGACAAAGGGGGGTACAAAATTCAGCGCAGCGGCTCCTTAGGGGGTAGGGCTACATAAGAAACAAAAATGAGAAGGAAATGTCTGTATTATTGTACTCAATGGAACTGGTTTGATCTTTGTGTTTTTAGAAAACTGTGATCTCCACTTTTCAGAGGAAACTTGTTTTCATGAGCCAAACATACAAACTAACGAGAAAATTCTAAAGAGTATGATGGAAAGTTTTTCTTGAATGAACAAATTGCTAACAGTGTATGTTGTTTTCGTTTTTGGTAAAGTCCATATGTTCCAAAATTTCATGTTAAAACCAAAATGAAATTATTAGTTGCTTTCAAACAACATTCATCAAGCTGTCAAATGTACTGAGAATTTTTGTGCAAATTTTAGTTTGAAAATCTAATAGTGTATAGCTAGCTTTAAGAAATGTAGAAACCTATAAATGCCAAAATGGTTGTATTTTTATTGAGTAGTACATTTATAAAACTTCAAAACTTTTGTTGGCTTTGTTTTATTGATATGTTGTTTGTACATTGCTTTAGGCCTGCTTCAAAACCTATGTGTGTTGCAATCTGCTACAGGAAAAAAGTCCCTGACCCTATCCAGAAATGAAGTGGCTGAAAATACATGTGAACATGTCCCATAGGAAACCATGTTAAATGGACTGTAGTGAGTTTCTTCTGCAAAACACAAAAAGCGCTAAAAACCACATAGGTGTGAACCAGGCCTTACAACCCCCTGTCTTATCATACACTATCTGTCTAACATTCTCTTAAAGCCATAACATGTAGAGGCTTGATTTAGGCCCTGTTCACGCAGGGTGATTAGTTGCGTGCACCGTACAGGGATGCACGGGTGTTGTGTGCATCTCTGTTCTGGCAGTTCCATAGATATGTATTGGGAAATGCGGTTGCATGGACACAGAGGCTGTTTCCCAGTGTAACATCTGTGTGGGTGCCCATCCCCTATCACACCTGCATGGGGCATGCAACGAATTGCCCCGCGTGAGCGTGGCCTTAGTCATTTTGCCTGCTCCTAAACTGCCTATGGCCCAAAGATGATTGCTGATCTCTTTTTACATATTGTTTATAATTTTCTCCATCCCTATGGCCTCTGTAGGGGATATCGAGCCTAGAAAACCTCTAGTAGGGGTTAGACTAACCGCTTTATTTATAATGTTCTCATGCTTGTGGATTAGCTAAAGATAAAAACACGGTAATAAGCATAGTTTGAACATGTCATAATGACAAAAGCAGTATGTCAAAAGCCAAGATTGGTGCACCCAGTTTGCACTTTAACGTAATACTAGAAATTAATCCTATTCCCAACATTTGTTGGTTTACTGCCCTTATTTAAGTATTGTTGGAGTTATA